TAAATTATTACGTGATTCGATTTGACTCAACTAACAATATCTTACAATCAAGATAGAGCCTATTTACACGAACTTTTTGGCAAGAAGTATAAGGAAGTCAGCAGTAGAGTTCGACCGATTAATCGGCCCATGCCGAGGCTAGTATCGACCAAAAGAATCGAAATCGGCCGTTTTTGGCCGATTCTTCAATGAGGTATTCTTATTTAGTTGTTCGATTACGTTTTTCTTTTGTTATTATACAAATTTATAGAAACATTTGTTCTTGAAATGAAATTATATTCAGGATTTAGTCGGCAAAGAATCGGCCGATGCTTCAGCCGACTAAATCCTGAAATAAATTCATTTCAAGAACAAATGCTTTTATTAACTTTTATAAAACAAAAGAAAAACATAATCAAATAAGTAAATAACCTAACCTCAATCCAGAATCGGCCAAAAACGGCCGATGCTGATTCTTTTGACCTATACTGGCCTCGGCATCGGCCGATTCATCGGTCGAACTTTAGTCAGCAGGGTAGGCAAGCACGCACGGTCAGTTAAATCGAGGGCTTTTTTCGACGTTTCGCTTCTATCGAGTTCACTTTTTCGTATTTGTGCTTTTTGGTTACTAAACCCAAATCTTGGTATTTATAAATAAAATTTTTTTTTAGTGCACTGGGCTACAGCGGCCGTCAATTTAATTAGCACATCAAATATGACACCTTTTTTTAATTGTGCCAAACACTTTTTTGTAACAACAATAAACAAAACAACAACAAACAAAATTTGAAGGTCATTTCAGCCAAAGCTTTGTTTATTTTTCTTCACTATTGTTTTGGTTTAACTAACAGTGTGATTCACTCAAAATAGCGATTTCGGAAGTAGTAGGTACGTATACACAAGAACCGATTTCTTTCAAATAAGATGATCAACTAATTTGCAAACATCGAACAACCAAATATTTCGCCGTGTTGTGGTATGCTGTCCGGTAAGCAATGTTGATGATAATAACTAGGGCATTGAATTTTATGCAAAAAACTAGAAATAAAACCAAAAAAAAAATAAAAGAAATATGTGCGTAACAAATGCAAAAAATAAAAAAAAAAAAAACAAAAGAAATATGTGCGTAAAATATGCGACAAAAATTGAAAAATTTGTATGAATAATTAAAACGAAAAAAAATACATTATGAATTCAAAAATATGCGCACCAAAAAAAAATTAAATGTACAGTTTAACAAAATCAAAGCAGTTGTAGAAATTTTTGAAATGACCTAGTACAAGTAGTCGATGATCAAATAATCGAATAATCAAAAAAACGCTGTTTAAAGTTTTATATAATATGTACATAAATACAAACCGGAATTCACAACATATTCATGAAAGTGATTTTCGTAATTTTCGTAATTTCGCCAATTAGTTTTTAGGTAATTTCAAGGCTCATATATTAAGAATGGGAAATTCCAAATACTCCATACACTTCTCCACTTACATATATGTATGTATGTACATATGTGTGTATGCAGTTTCGTGAAGTATTCATCTAGACTTGCGACTAATACTGAATCCCCCAAAAATCCTGCTTTCACTGTTACTCAGTGTTATATAATCAAAAACATCTTAGGTGTATACGTGAGTGGGTTTTCGTTGTTTTTTTTTTTTTATGTATTAAGGTGATTGAATCGGTTTTCGAGACTGGCTTTCGCCGTTTTTTTTGACATCTATAGGCGCTTTTTTTGGATTTGGATTTTTCGAATATCGAATACACCGGATTTTTTTTTATAGAAAAACCGGTTTTTTCATTTCATACAAATCTTGACCTCTCAATAAAAGTTTGGAGTTTTTCGAAGTTTTCAAGGCTTTTTTAAGTTTATGGGATGCCCCTAAATACTTTTTAAATTATCCAATAAATTAATGTTTGGCGCTTAAACGTTTTCTACGCATTTGGGACCAAAAATTGAACCTTGGACGTCCCGAGTGGGAGTAGGAACATCTAAGCCCTCGGCTATGGCAGCGAGAGCACTACTCAAATCCGAAAAGAGTCAGAATAAATACAATAGAGTATTAAAAAAAGTTAAAATAAGACTAAACAAATTTTTGCTCTAAAAAAGTGAACTTAATTTGCTTTGCTCTTTTCTAAATACAAGCTATCTTTACTGGTAATAGTTTTATTGTAATTTTTGGTTACGACTTTATAAAAACATATGAATTTTGAATGTATGAAAACTATATAAAGTAAAACCGCTTTATTCGGTTTTTCTTAATTGCAATTTTTCGAGTAACTCGAAACCCGGTTCTGGAAAAAAGGCGAATAATCGAACACCCTAGTATGTATACACAATAGGGCGGCTCCCTTTTTGGTTTTTGATGTGGTTCTCTGTACTTCAAATCATTTTAGGTAGCTGTTTGCCTAGATTAGCATATATGATTCTTTTTTTCCGGGAAGTGCACCAGAGAGCGATCTATTCGAAAAAGTTTTATTTATCGTCCGATTTGTGTGAAATTTATTACGTAGGTAGCATTTTCCTAGATTAACATATAGGATCCATTTTTTATTTTAATATGTTCCGTTTTGTTTGAAATTTGGCGCGTAGGCAGCTTACTGCCTGGATTAACATATAGGATACTTTTTTCTTATTGGTGGACCAGGGACCGATCTATTATATAGAATAATATTTTATACCAATTATGTTAAGAGAAATGCCACCTTCTTGTAAGAAGTGATCCCGCGAATGGCTGTTCCAATTTTTTTGAAATAGGCTTTTTGGTTAAAGCCACCGCACATTTCTGAAAGCATTTGTTGTAGAGTCCTGGAATTTGGTATGAAAGTTTTGAAATCAAATTCCTTCCAAATATACAGAAACTTTTACCTATCTATAAATACATATATAATTCTTCAGTACGTGTGTTTTCCTAAACGACCGAAATGATTTTAATGAAATTTTTGTCCTAAAGTCCCTGCATAGTTTACGTTCACAACTTAAAATGCCAAGTGGTGCTGCAGTCGAGTTATTACTAAACATCGTATTTATCGTCCGATTTGCCGCATAAACAAGATGTCGAGTTATTGCTAAAAATCGTAAAATGAAGTCATTCGGAGAACCAGGAATCAAAATCAAATTACCACCGTTAAATTGACCACCATAACCATTGCGGTGCTTCCTTTACGGCGACTAAACAAAATACGGACAGTTCTTGATGAAATTTTTGGTTATGCAGTTTTATAGCCCATATCACGAATGATTGCATGTTATTTCGTATGGAAGAAAATGCGCAACACCGTCAAAAAAAAAGTTACCCAACAGTAAACGGAATTTTGTAGCCATTTCAATCTGACCTTTGTTTTTTACTAAAAACTGCATGCCTAACATTTCAACAAAAAATTCTGATTAAAAACTTTTGACATCTTGATTAAAATTGTATGGGTTCTTTTAAATTTGAAACTTTGTGTTATTAAAAATGAATTTAAATAGAACACATTTTCAACAGATTTCAAAAAAAAATCCCTGCACGATTTTCTGTGACACACACTATACATATAATGT